AAGTCTGAGTTGCGCTTTTTCTCGTTTTTACAGTAAAAGCTTATGAATTGCAATTCTGAATTAAATATACAGGTTCCAAACAGCAGATAATTGTGCTACGGTAATGAAAGATGTTTTTAATGAAGCCTCTCAGTCGTCATCAAACTTCCACGTGTCACAAATCCCCAATTAAAGAAACACACTAAGGTCTCATAATTGCCAAGAAATGGTTCGACATTAAATGTGACAATTTATTGCCCACAGTGTTGCAATTTATTGCTCCTACTAAACCTGTTGTTGGCTCCTAAATCATTGACCTTAAGTGTCAGAAAGCCTTGTTAGATGAGTGTCCATGGTGATAGTAAGCTTGAAGCACTCCTCTCTCTCTCTCTGTCTCACAATAGCAGGGGGTGGATAGTGCCGCCGTGTATGGATGCACTCCCTCAACACACACATACACCCACACGCAGCCTCCCCCTGCTCCTCCTCCTTCCTGTTATTAAATTTGCCTGCTAATTTTCTCTGAGGGTTTTGTGTAATTAATGGACCAGTTTAGAAGGGCCAGCGAGACCCAAGACACCGTCACTATCCCTGTCCCTGCGGTCAGGCCATGAAGGGCCACTCCAGAGGCCCACTGGGGTCCCTCCAGCACGGGCGCCAGGCCCTGTCAGTCACATCCCCACCCAGGGATGTAGGCTTGTCTATCAGGACTTGAATGATGGAAAGATTGGACCGTGCGGTTGGTCGTGGCAGATTTTCCCTCAAGTGGCCGTGATTGTGCTCATTACTGCCCACTTACATTTCATCAGCGAGTTAGCCAGCCCTGCACGGTTAGCACCACTGACTCATTATTACAAATAAGGTTTGGGATTTAGGCCTGAGGTGCGCAAAGCCCTCTGGGCTCCCAAGTTTTTAAAATATACTTGGGGAGCTTTCTAACAAAAAAACACAAAGAGAGACCAAAACAAACATGAAGAGGGAGAATGAGAGACATGGTGCTTTTGTCTGATCAGATAAAACAAAGAGGAAAGAAGGAGGGGCTTGAATCAATATGTAATAATGTCCACTGTCGTCTGTGGCTGGCCCTGCCTTTTCCTGGATGAGTAAGCACATCCAAGCCTCTATCAGGGTTGGTTGTTTTTACACACAGTCTGGTAACTCTCTTTGAGATCCAGCTTATCTCTACTTTTCTCCATTACTATTTCCAAAAGAATTAAAAATAAATAAATAAATAAAATGTAACCAGTGTAGTAAAAGTTTAACCACAGACATAAATATTTCTCGTTTCACAAGTAGTGCATCATAGATGAAGTTTTCATGTATGGAAGATCAGTAACTCTCCATCAAACTGCAACAACAACGAACAGATAAGGCGATATAAGGTCCCACAGTCGACGGTACAGGTCAGAGTGCAAACACCAAGAATGAACTGAAAGACATTTTCCGTAGAACTCCGAGACAGCATTGTCTTGAGGAAGGGTTCGAAAACATTTCTGCTCCTTTGAAGGTCCCAATGAACATGGTGCCCTCAATCATTGGAAAATGGAAGAAGCTTGGAACCACCCCCAATTGCCGACCGATTTGGGGGTGATGAGTCGGGGAGGTGCCCAAGGACCTGATGGTTACTCTGTCAGAGCTCCAGCTTTCCTCTGTGGAGGAACTGAAAGACTCTCAGACCAGGTGAAATAACATCCTTTGGTCTGATGAGACAAAGACTGAACTCTTCAGTGTGAATGGCAGGCATCATGTTTGAAGGAAATCAGGCACAGCTCATTATCAAACTAAAACAATGCCTACAGTCAAGCATGGTGGTGGCAGAGTCATGCTATGGGGATGCTTTGCAGCACCAGGAACTAGTAGATTAGCCAGGATAGAGAGAAAGATGAAAGCAGCAAATGTACAGAGATATCGAGGATGAAAACCTGCTCCAGAAAGTTCTTGATCTCAAACTTGGGCGACCGTTCATTTGTCAGCATCACAACGACCTAAAGCACATGGCCAACATCTCAAAGAAGCGGCTTCAGAACCGCTCTGTGAATGTCCTAGAGTGACCAAGGGTTAGGGCTAAGCTTGGTGACCAAGTCCAGAGTTAACTTCTTTACACCATCTCTGGCGAGAACTGAAGACGGCTGCATATGGCTCCCGTTCAATATGACAGAACTTGATAAGTACAACAAATAAGAATGGGCAAAACTGCCTAAAGGCAGGTGAGATAAGCTTCTGGCATCTTATTCAAAAACACCTCAGGCTGTACTTGCTGCCAAAGGTAGATCAATAAAGTATTAAGCAACAGCTGTGAAAGCTTAAATAAATGTGATTTATTTGTTTTCCGTTCTTATTAAATTGGCAAATCACTCAATAAAGTTTTCCAGGTTGTCATAATGGGGAATTTGTGTGTAGATTTTTGAGGAAGTAGATTCATTTCCTGCACTTTGGAATAAGGCCGTAACATAGCAAAGTGTGGAAGGAGTGAAGCTCGGTGAATACTTTGTAAAAACACCATATGTTCGTTAAAGTGACCAAAATTAAATGTACAAGTAAGGAAAGCCAGAAGTTGCTCTTGAGACACTAGCTATGTTGTCAGAGAATTAACAAACTCGTATTCTGAATAGATATTTAGGATTAATAATAGTAATTTTTCAAGAATTGTAATAAAAAAAAATTTATTAAATCTTTTCTCCAGTCCTCACCAGCATTGTTACTAGAAACTGAACAGGTCTGTGTCGTTTCTCCTAACAACTGTCTCCCGTAAGGCGGGTGTGCAAGCCGGTTTAATAGTACTGTGACATAGCTGTCAAAACTATTCCATAGACATCTTCTGTCAAATTATATGAATCCTCCTGAAGTTAGCTTCCCAATAAGATGTTTTTGTAGAAAATGCTACACATGTTTGATGTTAAAACCCTGACAGACAGGGTTAATTTAACATAGGCTAAAACGCTATTACTGGTTTAACACATAACTTAACAGAGGGGAATGAAAAGGAAAGTAAAAAAGAAAAAAGATAATAATAAAAGCTTTTTCATATCCTCACAACCAAGAGCAAAACTGCAGCACCCTTTACAGTATCGCTATGTAGTAAGGTATCCTCAAAGACAGGCTTATAATAATATTAATTTGATTTAGTGTTATGAAAGCAAACTTGTTAAGAACAACAAATGAGTAAGAAAGTCAAACCCTCTTCTTCTCCTCTGACTCTGAATTGTTTTTGTTTCCACTGAATGTACTCAGTTCATCATCATCTTTTTTTTTTTTTACCTTTTTGTGATTATACATCCACCTTTTACGAGTTTTTCTTACAACTTACATCATTTTGGTTTACGCTGTGACACAAAACGACATAGGACAGAGAGAGCGTAGCAGCCGGAGCACTTGTTGAATGTTGCAGACATATTTCTCTTGTTAATTTAATCCGAACACTGTCCTGTTCAAATAGCTGGCTGACGAGCTAAGCTTGGGTCAAGCTCAAAGCAGATGCCACAAGAAGTAAACAGAGAGGGGTGGGGGGGTGATGAGGTGAGAGTAGGAAGATAGATAATAGGATATGAGATTAAATACAGTATGTCTGCCCTCTTCTGGTCAACGCCACCATCATCCACCCTGACAATTCACACTGGAGGGAGTAGATGGGGGGCCAATGTGATGGGGTGGACTGTGGTATAAAATTTACTCTACCCATAGACAACAACCTCTTGTATTTTATGAATTTTCTAAAACAACCTCCGTGCAAAACTCAAATATTTCACATCATCTAATATATGTCTTCAGTTAAAATTATTTGCGTGACATTATTGTATCATACATATCAAGAAGGAGATTATATATTCATATTGTGCACCTCGCATGCTGTTAATATCAATCCAATGTCATATGAAATGACTTGTCTGGGTGTCTTAAAGCTCCCTGATATTCAAAATGTAATTAAACAGTGCTGTACATATCCTGCTATTTTCATTATTACCTAAACAGCAGCTTGATTATGAGGAAAAGAAAATAAGAAAATGGAAATGGTTTCCCTCTGTCTCTTGACTGACAGCATTGTTTTTTTCTTTTTTTTTTAATCTCATTAGCAACAGGAAATTGACTGCAAATGATGAGTGCACATTCCTAATATTACTAATTTACTTCAGCGCACTGGGTGTTTCTTTAGCACCTGGCATTTATTTGTTAGCCGTAATTGCCATGGCCCCGGCAAACAGACAGTTGCTGAGTGACGCACAGTCAAAGTGAAGTGTGCATGTGTGTGGAGAGGTTTAAATTCATATGCATGTGCGCAGCAGCAATTCACAAGAGTGTGTTTGTGTGAGGTGAGAACACAGGCTTTGGTTTCAGCCTACATGCAGTGCATGTGTGTGTGTGTGTGTGTGTGTGTGTTTCGGTGTGCTTTCCGTCTCCGGGGGCCTACGTCTGCCTCCGAGTGCTGCTGGGGCAGGTGTGTAGCCAACAGGCAGTAGTGATGGCTAGTTAGCCAACTCTGAAGTGAGAGGTGTTTTCTTAGAAGAGATAGTTAGTAGTGGGCAGGATTAGGCTCCTTATGTCAATAACAGATGACTCTTTATTCTGTGCTGCATCATGTTTGTTTGGAGAAATTCAAAAATTGGTCCCAGTGAGGTGCCCACACTTCATGGTTGTACCAAGGCCTGGGGCAGCAAATCAACGCATGAAGCTGGAGATGGGAAATTTTGTCAGCTATTATAATAATGCAGCTTTTGGTCCAGGTTGAAATGATGTTGTCCGTGTATCTTGTGTTAAGGTGTATCATATAATAACGGTGACTAGAATTGAGTTTTGGCAGCTCTTACAGTGCTAATATTCCGTTAAATCAAACATCACTGAAAGAATTAATTAAATACAAGAAAATAGTTCTATTAATGAGGAAACTTTCACGTATGAAATATGTAGAAAAAAAAAACACAGTTAAGTGTTATGTTCATTGATATTAGTAAAAAGAATATCTAAAGCTTATGTGCACCCTAGAAAATATAGATTTTCATTTAAATAAACTGGAGACTGCAAGGTTTATCTGAATAGGTTTTAATCAAAAATAATTCAGTTAAAATTCTAACCAATATCAAACCTTTACAGATTTATATACAGTAGAAATAAGAATTGTACAGACAGACAGACAAACCCTTGGTGCTCAAGACGTGGCTAGAAGAAGAGCCCTAAAGATTCATTTTTTGTTTATTCATTTTTCAGGTTCCAGTTGTAGACCTTTACCTGAAGGTCCCAGCTAAGACAACCATGCTTCCTGGCAATGACTTCTAAAGCTTAATAAGCTCAGTTTATTAGCAAGTTTTCATATTATGTCTTAGACCTTATTACAGTTCAAATGGTTGACATTCAATAACCCCCAAAATTCTGTTTTATGAGTCAATTTTAAACTTTATTTCACAAGCTAACCCGATCCTCTTCGCAGACGCCTCAATTAGTCAATTATCCAAACAGACAGTCGCCTAGACAACTGAACCAGTCAGTCAATAATCTTTTGATCTCAAACTAAATCCTGCATGGCAGGAGAGTTTCTGAAGATGACCAAAATCAAATTAAAACCCCGCTGCAACTCGTTTCCACTCCAGCTTAGATCTTCTTCATTTCATTTGCGTTGTCTTCTCATTGTATTGTCTTGTTGGCCTTTGTGAAAGAGATGTCAATCACTCTATGACATATGGGTAGCTAAAGATTAAATGTGAACAGAAGAGTGGAAATATTGATTCGGTACAGGGTTTATTTCCGACACCGCACATATACGTTTGATGTGAATTACGGGTTCCTGTGCCAGAGAGTACCGGCAGGTCTGTTTTTGTGTTGGTCCACAGTTTACTATGTTTTTGATGCCATGCCAGTGTCTGTCTCTGTTTAAGCGTGCCAGCGGAACAGTGTATGCACCTGCTTTTTTTTTTTGTTTGTTTGTTTGTTTGTTTTGTTTTTGTGTGTCTGTTTGCGTATCCGTATGTGTACTGTACGTGTCTGAGTGATTGTACATGCGCCTGCCTGCCTTTATGCATGCATCTGTGCTCGTCTATGTGTCTTTGTATGCGTGCATGTGTGTGTGTGTGTGTGTGTGTGTGTTTTCCCTTGAGCTTTCATGGAAAGCCTTCATGGCCTTGTGCTCCTCCTCATCAGACTCTGTGTCTAGAGGCATAGCTGTAGGGTGGGCCTTTACCGCAGGGATCCTGGGACCAGTGGGGGACAATATCTCCTGCCTTATAGCTGTGAGGATGGAGGGAGGTGGGAAGGAGGAAAACAAAATGACATAAATATTGTTAAATACTGTTTTTTTTTTTTTTCAATTCTATTCTGTTCACTTTTTCCTGATCTTGCCTTACTTCCTCTGCAAAGAGTTTCACAAGATATCACCTTTCAGGACCAGGTCTCTGGTATCTGTGTGCTGTATTATACACATATTTTAAGGGAATCTTCTGTCAACACTTTGCAATCAGGCTGGTCACATGATCAGGCTTTGTCACAAAATGAGCAAAGCTTTTTTTTTTTTTTTTTTTTTTCCTTCAGAGAAAACCTACTTGACAAGGAGAGAAAAAAAAATGTTTTTCAGAAGGTAGGAAATAAAATGATGATCAGGAAGTATTATTTAAAGTGACAATGAGGCGCAACATTAAAATTTCAGCTTGAATTTATGCTTGATTTCTAATTTATAGAGAGGTAATTTAATGAGGGGTTTTTTTCAGCCTTTGGGAAATACTCTAATTGTTTCAAAATATAAATTATATTCACAATTTATCACTCAACATGAGAATTGACTTTTTCTTTCGAAATCCAAAATATTTTTATGAGTTTCTCTCCTTCCTTGATGTTGCTCTTTGAGTGTTCCAAGTATTTATTTATATTTTTTTATTTCTTAAAAAAGTGGCACAATTACAAGACAGATGACAGATTAAACCATACGCTCATCAATTCTCACCACAGTCGTCACAATGAACAGAAAATCTTAACTGATGACTTCACCGAGATTGGATTACCTGTTCTCCTCTCTTCGTGGGAAGAAAAGTAGATTTCTGGCCACCTTTCACCTCTGGGCATTCTAAACAGGAGCCACACACACATCAGCAACATCCACCGGAGTTCAGCTTTCTGCGTGGGTGGAACGGAAACAATAAACGTATTTTAAATTATTGGTTTTGTCAGAATTTTCTACTTTACTCAGAAGATAAAAAAAAAAAAATGTACAGATGTAAACATGGAATAGTAATGAACCTTAGCAGGAGTGCATGGCTGTTTCTCCAAAACAACTAGTATAAAAAAAAGTATAGAAGGACCAGAAATATTGTAGGACAACATATGAAGCAGATTTACATAATTTAAACTTCATAATAATACAGTAAGAAAATGGAAAAAACAAAAAGGGTATCCATGGCAGAGTTTCAAAGTGAAAACTTTCTGACCAACACAAAAGCTCTACAATATATCTGACATTTGTCAAAAAAAAACAACTTCTTGTTTATCCCTAAGACTAAAATATTCTGTACTGTGAGATACTTAGTTTAATTGTGGTTAGGTTATTTAGTAGGATAATCTGATACACAAAGAGCTCAAAAAGACAAAGTGAAAGTTAGGGTTAGTTAAATTCTATGCTCAAATCCAAATTATTAATGGACGTATAACATTAAGTATGCAATTTGTGCCAAGAAAGCCTTTAGTGTTGCTGAATTTAAATAATTACGCCGAGATCAGTGTGACAAAACACCTCTAAAGTGAAGTAACTCATTGCCAGTTATGGCAAACAGCTCATGGCAATTGCCGCCGCGCACAGAAAATGACTTCAAACCCGCGGCTACCAAAGTGGGTAGAAGCTGATGCATGGTCAGTGGGAAATGTCTCCTGGCAGATGGCTCCGTTTCGTATCCAAAACGGCTGGGGCTGTATGAAAAAGCAAAGGCACGGCATGACTGGCACTTTTATATTCTAATAAAGATGATTAGCGGCCAGCTATGTTTTGATACCCTCAGCAAGCACATATTTCTTTGTGGATAGTTGGACTAGCAGAATGATCTTACATAGAAAGCTGTAATGTTATGCTTTAATAGAAACACATGACAACAAACGGGTCCCGCCCTACAAAATGTCAAGCTGTTGCTTTAAATCTGCCTTGAACAAACATGCGACAACCTTGAAGCTAATACCATTACCTCTGCAGTTTTTCCACTGAGTGACACAGCAGGACTTGCTCCACAATGTGTCTCATCGGCGAGAAAGGGATGAGAAGCTGGGTGCGCACGCACACCCCACCGATGTGGGTAAGAGGGTGGGTAGAGGTGGGGGTTAGTGTGCCAGAGAGAGGCGGTCAGTGAGGTGGAAAAACTCAAAAGACAAAAGGGTGTGTGTCATGCCAAAACGACGACCACTCATCTGGTTTTAGACGGCAGAAAAGAGACAGACAGAGACAGACAAACTGACAGACGCATAGAGAGATGGGGTGAGTGTGGAGGGGATGATCAAAAGGACTGCAGCCATAATGATGAGGCCTCTGACTGGATGGACGCCGTCTCCATCCAGTTTGCTCTCATCAGTGTCAACTCTCCTCTGACAGACGCAACGCAGCATGTAGTACATGGATGCCTTACACTCATACTTTCTTGTCTGCAGTCACACAGACACACACACACGCACACATACTAGTTCTAAGGTATATTCTTGATAAAAATAGAACAAGTGTTAATTTACTTCTGTATTTGGTGAACCCAGGAGGATCAAGCTGGTAGTGTTCACTCTGGTCAGTAACCAGATCTTTGCCTCCTGGGATGACACAAGACGGTGTCATGCTTCTGTTATTTACCTGAAGCTTCGGCCCATGTCAACAGGAGTAGCTAGTGGAAATCCCCGTCACAGATCCATGACACTGTCATACACACCTGTACCCCCAGAGCATTATGTACGTGCCAGTGTCTCATTGCTGAAGGATCACGCATGTTCCCAAAGGGAAGGTGCTAGATCTAGGTTTTGGCTACAGGACACTGATAATTACTTTAATTGATGTATGGATTTTCAAATGTATTTTTAGAAGACAAAGTGAAGAAAGTTTCTTTATTTTAAGACTGTGTACGCTGGTACCATTATACTCCATCGAAGTTGTTTAGGATGGGTCCACTCCAAGACAACAAATGTTGGAACTGTGGCAAAGACACTGGTACTCTTCTTCTTTTTTTTTTCTTTTTTTTTTTGTTTTTGTTTGTTTTCTGTGTTTCCATTTTGGATGAAGGTCACTGTAAATTAAAAAATAAAACCAAAAGATTGGACTATCCATATTTAAATCACTCCAACTGTGTGTGTTAGGAAATAAATCTCCGATGCCCCATGGAGGATCTCAAGAAATCCATGGGTTTGTGGAGACGGGATGCATCGTGACTGGAAGATTCAATTCTGATCAATTTGAAAAGTCTCCACCGGCCTCAGTCTGAAGAATGGATCATGACAGAGACTGCTTCTTTTCAAGTGTTGATTGCTACGGTAAACGACATTCAGGTAAAAAAATGAACCAAATCAGGTCAATTTATGTCATATCATAGAAAGGTGACTGAATGCTTTCTTCTTGGGAAGTGCCACCTTACATTTCATATGTTTGAGGTTTGGTTTTGCATGTGTGAAAAACATAAAACTCAAAAATCCGAATGATGAAAAACGAAGGCCATAAACTGGCAGTAAGTTGGACAAACAACGTAGCAGGTCTTAATTTTCCACATTGCCTGAATTGTCACAAGACACCATGCATGTTGAAAACCTAGTAATTCATCATGAGAACATCGCAACTTGATCCTTCAGACCTATATGAAAAAGTTGATATGGGTTGCATATGGGCAAAAAAAAAAAAAAAATGGGCAAAAAAAAAAAAGAAAGAAATCAAAATTGGGTCACATTTGGTTTCTGTGTGACCATAACTTTAGAGCATAAATACCGTCTTGTGGTACCAACATCTTTTGACTGGTAGTGTGTGTGTGTGTGTGTGTGTGTGTGTGTGTGTGTGTGAACTGACCAACTCTTCCCGATCCAAATGCAACTGTACTGGGTACCAGTTTGACTGTTTCGCATCTAAAATGTTGTGGCTCAAACTTTTTATACTGCACAACATAAACAATGCCTGCATATTCATCCACTACCAAGTGTACTCAGAGATCATTTGCTACTGTGTAACATCACTTATAACCAGAAAATTATAACATTTAGCAACTCTATAATAGAAGTGGGCTTCAATAAAATAAATATAATTTGAATTAAACCTGGATACCACTATACCATTATATTACAGTAAAAACCTATCAAAAAAAAAAATAAAAAATCTAAAACTGCCAAAAACATCACATCTTATTTGTTTTTGGGCAATATAGACAGTAGGAGATTTCCACTTCTGACAGACCCCATCAATGAAGTGTGCTCCTATTATACGGTGCTGTTTAGCATTAGCTATTCATAGCTTCAAGTGGAAAGCATAATATCCCACGGGTCACTTTCACTCTTAAACCACAATAATGGCACTTTCATTTAACCTCTTAATATATGTTAATCCAACGATGTCAATGGGTTCTCTTAATACTCATGCACAGGCCGTTGGGGGGTCTGAGAGGCCAGAGAGGAGTAAGCTGAACAGACATACAAAGGCTGGCTGTAGAGACAGCCTTCTTATTTGATTTAATAAGTGGGCCTTCCTTAAAACAAAGGCACATTGTTGGCACTAGGCTCTGCATTGTATTGTCTGGTGTGTGTGTGTGTGTGTGTGTGTGTGTGTGTATGCGTTGTACATTTTAAATCGACTGTGTGAGCCTCTACGTGTGTGCTGGTCTGAATTTTTTGTTTTCTTTTTTTTTTTTTTTTTTTTTTACACCCACTTGCTAGTCGACGAAGGCGCTCTGTTCATTTGGCTTCTCCTGGCTGGAGCACCAGTTTCAGAGGCTCTATGACTCAAACGATCTGCAGAAGGTTTAAAGACAGGGTGGGGAGTGGGAAAATAATGAATATTTAGGGTCTATTGAAATGAAAATACCAGCAGCCTCTGGAGACCGGAGCACGGAAGTTTTTGCCGAAGGGATCTCCATCTGCTTCTATCTATCTATCTATCTATCTATCTATCTATCTATCTATCTATCTATCTATCTATCTATCTATCTATCTATCTATCTGTGCACGTATGTGCATGGGTTTTTTATTGTACTGCATGTCTCACGGAGGCATGAACGGTGCCTAGTTTTGACAGAGGGAGCCCACAAATCAGGAGTAAATCAGGACCTTAGGGCATGCCTGCTTCACTGAGGGGGAAGTGAAACATATTCACTGAGACCAAATCAGCCTCAATCTGGCCTCAGAGAGAGCCCTGTGCAACACTGACCCATAACCAACAAGCAACCTACTCATAAACACAGGTTGTTTGGGCTGGTCGGTAAACTTTTCGCCGTCTATCAACCGGTATAATTAACCGGCAGCAGCTTCGTAAAGCCCGGTGCTTTTTTGTTGTTGTTGTTGTTTTGGTCTGGCGGCCATGTTGGCAGGTTAACCAAACAGAATTAATGCACGTAGATTTGGAATGGCTCACTAGAAATAAAGATGCAGTTCAGCAGAATCATACGCAGTGCGTTTAAATCACGTGATGTATGTACATTGCCGTGAAAAAATTATTTACACTATTTTACATTTTATCCCATTTCGTCCTCATTACACCCACAAACTTCAACATATTGTGTTGTAATTGCTTGTGACAAACAGACATAAATTTGCATATCAATGTGAAGTGGGAGGAAAATTATACGTGTTTTGAATTTTTTTTTTCCTTTACAAAAAAACATCTGAAGTGTGCTGCGCTTTTCTAATCAACCCTCTTTGCACTCATACCCTAAAATAAAATCTTGTGCGACCAAATCCCGTGAGAGACCTAATTACTTAACAGACCACATCTGTGTGTATTTTACTGATACTGCTATTTAGTGAAAATACCACTAAATAGCTAAATTTGTTCATCTTGAAGACCTAGGAACAATTTAGGCAGATCAGGAATAAAACTGTGGAGAGGTTTAATCTGTTTTATTAAACAATATCATCTCAAGCTCTGAACATTTGACAGTTTGTTTTTTTTTTTCTACTGTCACTGTGGTAAAGTACTGTAAATTGTGATTCATTAAAGAAAAGACCGCGCTGCACAGTGCAAAGAAAAACAAAGTGGAAACGGGAACGTGAGGCAGTCTCCTTGAGGAAAGCTACTGTGTTGTGTTGGGTCACAAATTGTCATCCACCCCACAAAGAATATCTTTTCTTGTGACGCAGCATGGGAAACAAAATCTTTTAGTGTGCTTTGCAGCCTCTGCTTGCATCTGCTGTGATGTCATCACAAGTTGCATCCATGGCAGCCAGAAGGGTCATGAGGCTGGCAGTCGTATACTTTTTTTTTCTTTTTTTTTTTTCCATTTTCTCAATATGTGGCGTTATCAGGTAACATTACCACTTCCTGATAATGATAATTTGGCAAATGTCCACAGCCACTTTTTTGCTTCCAAATTCTTGCTCCAGAGCCTCACTCCTTTTTCTCTTCTTCTTCTTATTCTCTCTGGTTGCTGTCCCTCGACTTCCCATTGTCAGAAGTGTAATATTGTGTTTTACTCTGGCTGTATACATACCAATTGATCATCGGTTGAAATAACGCTTCTCACATTTACATTCGTTAGAGAAAGTCAGGATTCACCAGAGAAAAATGTATTCCAATTCAGGAAAGATTTAGATAAAATGTTCAGTGGAAATCTATAGATTATGATAACTTGTTCAAGCATTTTCCGTATTAAGACTTATACCACAAACTTTTGCTTGAATGTTTTGGAGGTTGCGACTGTTCAACAAAGACCCATAGAATCGTTCTTGATCATCATGACATAAGCAAATTATAAAAGGAAAAAGGAGAGAATTGGACATAATCACTTGGATGTATAAAAGCATTAGCACTGTGTTCAAAGAAGTGTAAAAAAAATTATCTGCACAAGTGACACAATGATTTGAAGATGGAGGCTTTTAATTATGTTCTGAGAAATGCACCGGTAACTGAGAAAATCTGTAAAGTTAATTTGAAGTTTATCTGCGCCACTGCTGTTTTTGTGGAGATCAGCAAACCTGCTTTGGTGGTTTGATTGGTTTCTTTCTTTTTTCTTTCTTTTTTTTCCACCCTTCTTTGAAAACCATGAATGATTTAGATTTTGACAGGGTTTGATACATACAAGCCAGGAGATTGAGCTGTACAGG